CCACACACTATATACACATGCACATACATATACACACTATATACACATGCACACACATACACACATACTATATACACATGCACACATACTATGTATGCATGCATACACATACACACATACTATATACACATGCACACATACTATGTATGCATGCATACACATACACACATACTATATACACATGCACATACATACTATGTATGCATGCATACACATACACACATACTATATACACATACTATGTACGCATGCATACACATACACACATACTATATACACATGCACACACATACACATATACATACTATGTACGCATGCATACACATACACACATACTATATACACATGCACACACATACTATGTACGCATGCATACACATACACACATACTATATACACATGCACACACATACACATATACATACTATGTACGCATGCATACACATACACACATACTATATACACATGCACACACATACACATATACATACTATGTACGCATGCATACACATACACACATATACACATGCACACACATACACATATACTATACACACACATACACATACTATATACACACGCACACACATACACACATATATATATACACACACACACACACACACATATACTGTATACACATGCACACACACACTCTCATTCCATACACCATTCCTGGCCGTTCACTTTTCTTTCATTTGTTTATCCATTCAAAAATATTTAGTGAATAGCCACTGCACGTCAGATGCTGTGCTAAGCAATAAAAATGGACAGTGAACAAGACCATTCTCTCCCTGTATGTGAGGGACATACATACCTCATAGGCACTGTCCTGCCCAGTGAATGTGCAGTCCTCAGGCAGTGCCAGGCAGGGGAGATGGGTCAGCACTGTGCGGGGGTGTGTTACTCGGGTTCCTGCCTTCCACCATCAAGTGGGGGGGGGAACTGTGTAGCGTTCTTGATATGACCACAGAGAGAAATTCCTGTTGCTTAGAATCTCTGAAGATTGCATATGAGTAGAAAGGATCAAAACTAAAAACCACCGGCATACTGAAGTTTCTGTATAGCAAGACTTCTCACTTGAGTTGGTATTAACCCAGTTTCTCTAGGTGCTACTCATTTCAGAACTGAGGAGGTATGATTTTTGCATTTCTGTGTTAGCTCTTATCCACTTACATTGGAAACAGCTAATTCCCTGAAATACTGTTTGCTCCTGTTCTTTGTTTAGGATATTGGCCGGGTTGCGGGACCTCCAATACTCAATCCAGTAGCGAATGAAATTTACTTGAATTTTGAAAGCAGTACACCTTGCTTAGCGGACAAGCATTTCAACTACACCTCACTTATCGCATTTCACTGTAAGAGAGGCGTGAGCATGGTAAGTGTGTTACCTGTTGTAGCTAGTCGCAGGAATATGGATTAGGGAGCTGAGGCCCAGTAACCATAAAGCACGTTTCAGGTCGAAGGATACCTTTATTCACAATGTATGCTTGGATAATATGGTACATCATGGGTACATCTGAATGATTTGAAATCGTTAATTAAGGAATAAGTAAGCTCGCCCAGCACATAGAGTTAACAGCACATAGAGGCTTGCTGGAACTTAAAAACATGGAACCCTTGAGTAAAGAGATGACATTCAACTTTGATGACTGAAAACCAAAAGTGTTAATTTTTTTTTTCCTTACTATAACATTACTGATTTTATTCTTATTGGGAAGTCAGACAGACTTTTGGGCAGCTATAATCATTGAGGACATAGTCCAAAATTCAGAAGTTAGCAAATAACAAAAAACCTCTGGAATCAAATAGCCACAACAAAGTAGTACATTTTACTCCTGAGGAGGTTATTGGCTGGTATTTTATGTGCAGTTTTAAAATATCAGGCTGGCCAGTTGGCTCAGTTGGCTAGAGCCTTGTAAGACCGAGGTCAGAGATTCGGAGCCCTGTACTGGTCAGCTGCCAAAAAATAAAAAATAAAAACCCCAAAATACCACCAGCTTCTGTTTTGTTATAAGGGGTTTTTGCATCCATTTTCTCATGGCTCCTTCTGTGAACAGGAGATAAATTGGTAAACTCCAGGCCCCATTTTATGGGGACTTAAAGCAGCTCTGCCTGCTGCACGGGTGGACGCTCTTTGCCACAGGGAGCATGCTACACAGCCCCTTGTCTGTGCTTCCCAAATCCACGAAGCTCTGGAAACTTGGAACTCCTTTAATACGAATAGACTAAGGCTGTTTGTGGTCTGTATGCATCCCACGTAATGTGAATATTCATCTTTCTGCAGAAATAAATATTAATGTGCTTGATTACAAGACCTGGGTGTGTGTGTGTGTGTGTGTGTGTGTGTGTGTGTGTGTGTGTTATGTACTAGAAATCAAATATCCTATATTTCATAATTAAGTTAGGAATGAGTTGTCCCTTAAAATCCTAAAGGTGATGAATTCCAAGGCTCATCTGATCCCAAGGAGCTCAGTTGATGGATGATGGATCTCTTAGGTGCTTTAGAATTTCAGTGCAGATGACTTTGTGACTTCTTGGCTTGGAGCAGGTTGTAAAGGGAAAGGTCACAACGAAGGTTAGATGCGGGTATGTTGACAGTGGCAGGAAGTGACTTAGCAGCTGCCTGACAAGGAGGAAATTATACTGATTGAGAGTGAGGCAAAAAGAAAGTTCCACTGCCTGGGGTCACTCCATACAGAGGCCCAGGGTACCTTAAAGCCCTTGGACCTGTTCATGAATCATTGAGTGTAATGACAATTTGAGTTATCAAGGAAGGGTGATGCTGTATTCAGTCAACTCCCTTATCTTCTTGCAGGCGTATCTGCATGTTTGTGCAAGGGTGTCTGTAAATGCCTCTGAAGACACACGTGGTGTAAGACAACATGCACTTAACCTTTAGAAAGGCCTCCATTTTCAGTAGAACTTTGTTCTTGGAAGGGGATTCTTCTGTTCTCTCAAAGACCCAGCTCTCAGTGAGGGACCCTTGACTGTCTCACACTGCCAAATAAAGAACATGGAACTGTACTCAGCTCTACAGCCGCTGACAGCTCTACAGATCCAGTTAGCTGATGTTATGTTAGATGATTCCCAGACCAGCTGCACACTGAGGGTGATTGCTGGTTACATGTTTTTAGGAGTGAGGCATCTCACACTGAATGTGTATTCCAGTTGTGGAAAGATTTTAAAGAGATTTTTCTCCTCTGTGGTTTTCATCTTAAATCACAGAAAAAAGATTTTTAGCAATAATTAAAAATGAAATTTCTGCCTTATCTGTTTTTCTTGCTCTTGGATGAGGGAGGGATAAATAAATTGATTTGAGAACACTCAGCCTGTGGAATAACTGGCTGCCTTGTGTTTAGCCCTCATTATAAAAGCCACCCGCAGTGTGTCGGGTGGCGGTGTGATGATGCTGCTTGTGCGCGTATTGGAGCACTTGGCCCTTCTTTGCAGTGGCAGGGCTCAGTTTCACAGACTTCTTTCTCATGACATTTAAGGATCATTTAAAGACTTCTCCCATTCTTCTTTTGCACTCATGGCACAGAACATCGAGGCTCTCTCTTCTTAAGTGAAGGATGATGACCTGGAGTCAGTGAGGGAGTTTCAGGGGTGCATCGGGGCAGAATCAGAGGTTCCTGTCCCTGCCACGAGGACAGCAGCCACTGTTGCTGAGCATTCTTCCCCTCCAGACAGAGGCCCCTGTGGGGTGCCCAGCGTCCCCGGTCCTCACAGTGTCAACTGCAGACTCCCTCTCCTGGGTTCAGCATGTGGGTGGGGGCTTGCATCTCTGGCACCTGCTGAGGGGTAGCAGTGCAGCACGGCTGCTGTGCCTACACCCTGTGGCTCTGTTGACACCAGGGCACTCCTAAGCTGCTAAGGACCAGCGAGTGCGACTTTGTGTTTGAGTGGGAGACACCGATCGTCTGTCCTGATGAAGTGAGGACTGAGGGCTGTGCTCTGACGGACGAGCAGCTGCTCTACAGCTTTAACCTGTCCAGCCTTTCCACGAGCACCTTTAAGGTAAGGCTGCTGCCCAAGCCTTGCCATCGCAGGTGGCCGTGGCGTCCCGATGCCTGGCTTGTTTTCTGATATTTGCTTGTGTTTTTAGGCAGTGTGGTGTCTGTGACCAGCGGGGGGTATGTGATCACCTTAACAGCCCTTGGAGAGGGTGGCTCCCTGTAGGGTACCTAAGATCAGTGTGTTAGGAAGGTTTCTGGATTGTGTGGCTAAGCACAGCTCATAGTTGTGTTGAGCCTCACAGGCCAGAGTATTTCTGTACGTAGGGCTTTGTGAGGATCGGGTGACCCAGTGATGTGGGCAGAAGGACATTTTGTATCACAGAGAACAAGCAAGGCGGCTCGGGGACACACACGTGACCATGGTCTCTGGGGCAGGGGCAGAACTGGAGTGGTTGGCAGAAATCCACTGTCTCCAACCTGGCATTACGATAAGGGGCAGCTATTTGTCCCCCCAGAGGCGATACGTAGAAGGGCTAGGAGGTGCCCCTGACTGGAGAAGCATGTGCCGGAGCCCTTGGCCTGTGTGTCTGTGGACTGTTATGTCCATAAGGTCTTGCCCAGGGGTGGTGGCGATCTATTTGTTGCCAAGATAAGCAGCGTGGGGACCAGGCCCCAGATTTCAGCACCTCCTGTGATGGCAGCTGAATGGAGAACTGGGAATTCTATGCCCAGGTGCCAGCACCCTGGCTTGTGGGAAGGCACGTTCTGCCCACGTGCAGGACTCTCCCACGAGGCATGCAGCAGGTGTGAGGCCAAGGTGAGGTGGAGCTTGCACACATTTCAGCGTGGAGCATCCACTCTGGACTTGCGTAGTGCTTGCGGCTCCCTGTCTCAAGGGAGTAGATGTGGGCTTTAGGATGGTGGGCTGAGGGCCGCAGTTGCAGAGGACAGCCAGGGCAGTCGGGAGGGAGCAGGAGGAGGGAAACTGGGCCCAGGCGTGGAGGTAGCTGTGACTCCTCCTAGGGGCCACAGAGGGAGATGCCAAGGGCCACAGGATGTTCCTTGTCACCCTCTGGAGGAAGGCCCCGGGCCTGGTGGGAAGGAAGGTCAGCACAGCTCTGATGCAAGGACAGCCTCACTTCTCTGCACGTGCCCATCTCCTGCGCAGGCTGCAGTGGCAGTTCTCTCATCCCCGGAGGTCCAGGGGCTGCCGCTGTGTTCACACCATGCTCGGTGTTTGTCCAGGTGACTCGAGACTCGCGCACATACAGCGTGGGGGTGTGCACCGCGGCGGCTGGGCTGGACCAAGGAGGCTGTAAGGATGGAGGCGTCTGTCTGCTCTCCAGGAGCAAGGGGGCGTCTTTTGGACGGCTGGCATCTATGACACTGGATTACAGGCACCAGGATGAAGCAGTCATTTTAAGTTACATGAATGGTGATAGTTGCCCTCCAGGTAAATCTTTGCAGCGGGGTCAATTTTAAATTCCTAGTAAACATGAAGTTGGACTTAGTGTCAGGAAAAAAGTGAGGGATGAAGCTTCAAGTCCTGTGAGTGCTGAAACCTGGGATTTGAACGTGAACCGTCGCATCACAGCCCTGAGTGTGAACACTCAGCACATGTCGTCAGTCGCCTATTAGGTTTTGTCAGGTGAATCCTGGCTGTCACCTGGGTAGTGTAGGGAGGACAGCGTCCTTTAAATGCTCCTTGTTGTGCATTCTTAGGTGGTCGTGCCTGTCGAGGCACAGCTGATGTAATGCTGGTAATCTGGATTGTTTGGATGTTCTTCTTTCCAGAAACCGATGCAGGTGACCCCTGTGTCTTTCCCTTCATATTCAACGGGAAGAGCTACGAGGAGTGTGTGGTGGAGGGAAGAGCAAAGCTGTGGTGCAGCACAACCGCCAACTATGACAGAGACCACGAGTGGGGCTTTTGCAGACACTGTAAGTAGGAGAGCTGTGCGTTCTGGCGTGGCCTGCTGATCCTCTCAAGGCTTGGCTCATTCTAAGACCTTTGTGGATGTCCAAGTTAACGGCAGCTATTCTGTTGCTTGAAACGTTCTCTGGTTAGGGCTATTTTTCACAGAAAAATGTTTTAATCGCTCCATGGGATCGTTGGGTCATCAGATCTGCAGACTGCAGCAGGGCTGTGTTGAGATGCGGATGTACAGTGGCCAGCTGGGCCCGCTTGCAGGGACTTGTGTCCATGTACCAGTTTTCAGCCTTGGTGGTTCGAATTCATGCCTAAGCAAAATTGCTGCCTGTCATGGGTTTAGGGTGGCCAGTGAGTATTCAGGAAACCAGGGGACTCATTCATTGATGCTCTGCTCTGTGGCAGGCACAGGGTGGGGCCTGGGGTTTCGTGATGAGCCAGATTTAATACCCTTACTCCCACAATGCTTAGAGATTGGTGTCATGAGAGGGTCCTACTAACACGATGTGCGTTCCCGAGGAGATCTGGATAAACAAATGGAAAATTGTGTAATTCTTGTAAATGACCAGGGAGCAAAATGGGACTTGTTAAGGAACTGTAGATGTTAAATTTACAGGGGACTACTATAGTTTTGTTTTGAAGGCTTATTTTGATAGAACATTACTCTTGCTCCATTGGGGTACACTCAAGTTTTTAGGTAGAGGTGTTTTATTATTTTCTGGACACGGGCCGTGGTCTGACCACTTTCATGCCTGCCCCTCCAGCAAACAGCCACCGGATGTCTACTATTATATTTAAGTGCGACGAAGATGAGGACATTGGAAGGCCACAAGTCTTCAATGAAGTTCGTGGGTGCGAGGTAACGTTTGAGTGGAAGACGAAAGTTGTCTGCCCTCCAAAGAAGATGGAGTGCAAGTTCATTCAGAAGCACAAGACCTACGACTTGCGGCTGCTGTCCTCTCTCACGGGGTCCTGGACCTTCGTCCATGAAGGAGACTCGTGAGTACCCGTGACCACTGGCCAGGGGTGTCACGCTCTCAGCAGGTGGAGCTTGAGAGTTCTTGATGGTAGTTGGCTCATCATGGTTCAAAAGATAAGCACCCCACATACCTGTGATACTGATGGTGGCTTTGGCTGCAGTTGTGCTCTGGGAGGCAGCCCGAAATGTCAGTCGCGGTGCACTGGGAGTGGTTCTGAAGTTGGAGGTGGGGGGAAGGGAGTCCTGGAGAGCAAAACGGAGTCTTCAGAACCCAAGGAAGCTGGATGGGCTGAGTCAGGCTAGACTCAGTTCGTATTTGGGCATGGGTTGGTGGGAGGTATGTTGATTTTCTTAGATCTTGGGCAAGAACTCCTGAGGCTTTGCTAGGTGGGAGGGTTAGCTGTCCTGACTGCTCCATGTGCAGAGTGCCCACTCTCTGCCAGGCACTCTGTCTGCAGGGCCTCACCGCAGAGCAGGAGCATGAACTTGAGCTCCACGTGAGGTAATGAACCTGCCAGGATTCAAGCTGCCCCCCTTTTTTTTCTGTTGGAAAAGCTATTTTAGTGCTACATTCACAATGGAGTGAGACACTTGGTTATCAGAACTCTTACTTTTTTCTGAAAGTGACATTAAGAGCCTCACCCTAAGTGTCTTAGGGCAAAGACCAACCTTGCATTCCTCCTTGTGTGTCATTTTGTAGGTACTATATAAACTTATGTCAGAAAATATATAAAGGGCCCCCTGACTGCCCTGAAAGAGCCAGCATATGCAAAAGGAGCGCATCTGGTGACGTACAGGTCTTGGGACTTGTCCACACGCAGAAGCTGGATGTCATAGGTAAGGCCTTTGGACGTGTCGTGATTGGTCTGTGTTGGGAAGGTGAGGGTGTACTCAGTGTGATGGGAGAGTCGGCTTGGGCTGGGCTGGGACTGCCAGATGTGATTCCCGATGACTGTCAGGCATTTTGGCAGCTCCTGGAACATTCAAGTAAGTGCTGCTTTGTATTACCTGAGACTGCAGGTAGCAGTCTGTGTGTTTAGTGGGCATCGGCTGTTGTGGTTAGGTGCTTCTGTCCAGGAGGAAGTCAGAATGTTCAGTTCCTCTGAAGCTCATGATCTAGCTGCAGATGGAGTGCCTAAGTCTGTGTCTACACAGGTATTTGTTTAGGAAAGCCAGACAGGTGCGCAAGGACTTGGTGGAGATAATTCAGGGGTACATTTTCGTAATGTCTTAACAATTTGGAAAATAGTATTGATGCTTTTTAAAAGTATTAATAGAAAATTCATCTTGCAATTGGTTGTTGAGGAAAAGATGTTCTCTTTCATTATTTAAAGGAGGAAGATAGAGTGTTCTCAGTTTAACAACAATTGGAATGTATTGGAGAGATCGGTAAAGAAAAAAATCCACCTTTGCCTTCAAGCCAGAGTGGGATTCCCTGAGTTGTTCTGATCACACCATAGGATGACTTAAGTCAGCTTGAGATGTTGAAATGGGGAAAGGAAATTCCAAGGAAATCACCGTCACCCTTGACAAAAGTCAAACCCAGGTTCTGCAGTTTAGTAGTAGAGGGAGAGGTGTCATACTGCAGGTAGTGGCCAGACCTCCAGGGTGAGACGTGTCCCCGCTTTGGAGGTTCTTATTAGCTGTTGTTGCCGTTTCCACATTGCTTGAGAAGGGCTAAGGGTGGGAGGGTAGTTGAGAGTAGCTCTTTCCCTGTAATCTGTTTGACCAGTCTTTTCCTTAAGCCTTCACTAAAAGTTTTTGAGGCAGGAGGAACAAAAGAGAATAGTCCAGTGAGTAACGTAGAAACAGATCATCTGACTTGCCATTGGTGACTTGCTAGCTGCCCTCCGCTTGGTGAGTGCTATCTTGCAAGTCAGGCCAGGCCAGATGAGAAGAGTTTGTGCTTTCTCCCGAGGCCAGCATTGGGCATCCTGAGTTCCTGATGACTGGAACTAGAATAATCTCCTGGTATCGGACACACTAGGTGGGCTCTCGCTCTTTGGCTCCAACAAGACACCATCCAAGGACAACCACAGTGACCCCAATGTTCATGTATGGAGTACCCCATGTGGGGGTGGAGAGGTGGACTTTTTGTTACAGGAACTAACATTTATTGAGTACCTGTGCTTTGTAGATGTTTAACCCTCAACACCTCCTTAGGGAAGTGTTATTGTTCATTTCACAGGTACAGCAGCTGAGGTGCAGAAGGTAGAGTGGGTCTATTAAAACCTACATTAGTTTGATCCCATATTCCAGCAGTTAAAAAATTCTCCTTAAAATATGGAACGCTTTTCTCCAAAATTTTGCATAGGGGCCCAATATTTAAAACAAATTCATCTGGAGTACTTTTGAATTGGGGGCCGGGCTGAGAGCCTGGTGTCTCTCCTCCCACCTGCCTTCAAGCAGTCCCTGGTACCTTGGCCTGTGCTCTATAGAGAGCACTTGGGAAGCTAGTACCATACCTGTGTTGTTTCTGTCATATGTCCCCGCCTTGAAGGGTGTGGCATCAGGAGCTGGAGGGCATGTGCTCCTCCTGAAGATGCTGAGCCACACCCCAGAGCCATGGTCTATCTGCTGAGCCAGGCGGGCCCAGACCACTCTCGGGACACACCCTGGGCAGCACGGGTGGATGGTCTCTTAGCAGTGATGCAGGAGTTGAAACCTGGTCATCACGCCACCCTGTGACACTTGCAACTTAAAGTGTGTACTTACTTTTCTCCAAAAGTTAAAGGGCTTGGGTTTTTCTTTTAACATGTCATTTTCAAAAGCCGACAGAGCTTGACTTAGAGTCAGAAGGCCTGAGAAAAACCAAGTTGGTCTCTATGGCTTTTCCTTTGCTTAGTCCTGCCCTGTTGTTATTGGGAGGCCCAGATGAGGGGACCTGTCGGGAAAATGACCTAAAATGATACAGAAGTTGTACGAAATTGGAGCAGTAGAGATAGCTGCCGTTAATTAAGGTCCCGCCATATGCACGTGTTGTGTGGGCACTTTCCACACACTCCTGAGACCCGTAGACTTTGGATAGTACTCCTGTTCTACAGGTGAGGCGATTGAGGCTCCTGCGTTCAGAAGCCCAGAGCCCTGCAGCTTGTGAGCGCAGGGCTTGGGTGCGAACCCTGGGCGTGCTGTTTTCGTAGTGATGGTGGTGCAGGCCTCCGCTGAGTGTGGTGCTGTTGAGAATAGGTCGATAAAATCTGCGCAGCCAAATACTTGTAGATTTTGACTTCTCACATTGAGCTTTTTTATAATGCACTAGAAGTAACATCAGTTCAATCATTTGTGTGTTTCAGATGACAGAGTTGTTGTCACTTACTCAAAAGGGTATCCATGTGGTGGGAATAAGATTGCCTCCTCCGTGATAGAACTGACCTGCGCAAAGACGGTGGGCTCACCCGCATTCGAGAGGTAAGGTGGTGGGGATCAGTGGAGCTGTGCAGAGAGTATACTAGGGAACTCTTTGGAATCCCTGTCTGTGGTTTTCATCAGGGATCGGGAATGTATATGCAAGTGAGAGGATGTTTGGGTTGTCACAGTAGGAAGAGCTGGCTGCTGAGACATAAGGACTGGGGGACAGAGTTGCTGAGCCCTACAGTGTACAGGGCTGCTCCACACAGGACAGATTCCCACATAAATGCTGAGACACACTGTTACTAGACAAATGCATGACCTAGCCGTCTGCACTGGCTGAGCAGTATGTAACTGGCCTATGTCTTTGAATGTCTTAGTAGAACCAGGGGGGTGTTGGGTGTACCACCCAAGGCCAACTGTTCAAGCAACTTATCTGGGGCCCACAAGCAGGTGGGGCCCATACCTAGAATGTTCTCGGATTACTTTAGAATTCAGGCAACATCGTGCCTGTTGCGAGGGGGAGTTTGGCCAACAGGTGGAGCCTGTGAGCTGCTGTGTGTGAGCAAACCAATTCCTTCCAGAAGTCGGGCTTGGAAAAGGGGAAACCCAGGAATTGTCAAAGGATTTATCAGTTTGAGTCTGAGATGTTTGTAAAATGAAAGTTCAGAAATCTAGGATCAAATTTTTCCAGATTTTAAATGTTGCACAGTTTCTAAATTAAGAAATTGTATTGAATGTTTGCCTGCTTTCTTACATTGCTGTTTGTCTTACAGTCCTCTTCCCTATGTTGGTGCCCAAAAAGGGAATAAAATTATCACCCCAGCCCAGGGCTGCCGTCAGTGTTGGGTCAGGAATAGCAACAGGGCCCCGCAGCCCTGGGGTGGGGTGGGCAGGGCCTTCAGCTTATCCTGGGGGCCCTGGCGCTATAGGAGAGGCCTCAGAAACTGACCGCCTGGCTGGTTGCTGTGCCTTTATTGAGAGCCGGCGAGCTGCTTCAGGGTCGGCTAGTGTTTACCTGTTGCGCTTACCTTTCTGTCTGGCTGGGGAGCTGACTGGCTGTGCTCCTCTCCTTCCAGGTTTGACATCGATAGCTGCACGTACTACTTCAGCTGGGACTCCCGGGCCGCCTGCGCTGTGAAGCCTCAGGAGGTGCAGATGGTGAACGGAACCATCACCAACCCTATAAATGGCAAGAGCGTCAGCCTTGGGGATATTTATTTTAAGTAAGTGAAACATTTTCCTTTTGAGCACTCAAACATATTCAGAATTAAACCAACAGTACAGATCTTTTCCCAGCAAGGAGTGTGGCAAGATAAATAGGTCCATGTGTTTTAGTTACTGTTGCTGGAGTAGTCGTCCAATTTTCCTTAAACAGAGGAAAAGCATACTCAGCTATTAAGTTTTAACACCAAAGATGGGGAATTCTCCTGACTGCAAAAAGAATGTCCCCCTCCTCCCTTACTTCATGATAAGCCCAGGGGTTGAAGCTGGAGCCTTCAGAAAACATGTTTGAGCAGAAATCTCTGGGCTTTCCAGTTTGTAAGGGAAAAAAAGCCGGTTTCTCAACACTGTCACTGGGGCTGTTCTTGGGGTCTGGTGTCTGAGGCAACTGGCCAGGTACAGCGTGTGAGAAAGGCTCGTTAACGCTCAGAGAGCAGAACGGTGCGGGGGCAGAGTGACTGCAGTGGAAGGTGGTGGCCTCGGAGTCTCTGGGGGGTCACGGAAGCACTACCCTAGCTTGAGAAAGCCCGAGAAAGCAAACATCCTGGCCCCTTGCAGTTGTCCTGAGGACTTCGGGTTTGTGTGATAAATGACCTTCGTGAAGGACTTTCAAGTCACTGTGATCTTTTCTGTCTTTTCAGGCTATTCCACGCCTCTGGGGATATAAGAACCAACGGGGACAGCTACCTGTATGAAATCCAGCTTTCCTCCATTACAAAATCCACAAACCCCGCGTGCTCTGGAGCCAGTATATGCCAGGTTAAGCCTAACGATCAACGCTTTAGTAGGAAAGTTGGAACTTCCGATAAAACCAAGTACTACTTTCAAGGTAAGTGCTTTCCATTAATGTCCCATATTTAACTTCCTTGAAAGAAGATTTTTCACATTTTCATCAACAAAAAACTCAGTTGAAATCTCAGATCAATTTTAAAACAAAAACCCAGTCTAGTTCTATGTCTTGATTTGCATTTTGTCAAAATGAATCGAATAGTACAAGCAAGACCTGGGCATTTTACTGTAGGTAAATAATATCTCAGTTGAAACACAAACAAAAAACCAAATCCTGGGCTGAACCTGTGGTTCTGAGGTGTACAAGTCCACAACTGCCTTTGACTTGGCTTAGTCACGATACTTCCTTATTTTGAAACATCAAAATATTAGATAAGGGGAAGAGATTTTATATTTGTCAGAGGATTAAAGGAGAAGGTTGGGAGATACTGACCTACATATTCAGTACTTTAATATTTTAATGTTTAAATGGGTATGAATGAAGGTTTCGTACTGGCAATAGTAAAGGTGTTGAGAGAATATTCTCAAAAGGCAGCTTTTGTTTTCAACAACTAGTATTTCGCTTTTTATTTTTCATGATTTGATTTTTGAACAGTGTGAATATATTAACTTTAAAAAGTGAAGCACGCCTAGGAACAGCCAGCCCACGCTGCTGTAGAGGGACTGCTGGGAGATCGCCATGGGAGGGCTGGAGGGGTTGCTTCCCCGACACAGCTGTAGCCCAGGGCAGCACGTGCTCCGGTGTGCGTGTGTGCGCTGTACAACCTAACGGAGGGACGAGGGAGTGAGCTCGGCAGCTGGTCCATCCCAGAGCACCAGAAAGTAGCCTAAGTTTTAAGACCTCTTTTTGCATTTTAAGACTCATGACTTCATGAGTCTTGCCCTTCACTGGAAAAGGTGGGAACAGGAAACCGCAAGCCCTATCTCCAGTCTCCATATGCTGTCCAGGTGTAGCGACCCTGGCTCCTTGCCAGCTCAGTGACTGGCTCCCATGTACCAGCCACACACAACAGCCTATCCCCAGCACGAATCTGTGGTCTTTTCTGAGCCGCACTTGCACCGTCGCTGTCCCTGGGCTCCCCTCTGTCTGTGGACCTGTCCATCTCACACGCTGAACTCTCTTGCCTGGTGCCCCAGCAGCGGCGACCACAGAGTCTGAGCCACCTCCAGAGCTGGGAGGGAGTAGAGTCCACACTCCTGATACCAACTGCGGGTTTGGGGGGTCCCAAAACCACCCTCAGATTTGGTAATTCACCAAAAGAACTCACTGGAAGCTGTTATATTTACATTTTATTATAGCAAAAGGATATAGATTAAAATCCACTAAAGCAAGTTGCACACAGGGCAGAGTCCAGGAGAGAACCAAATGCAGAGCCTGTGGCCTATCCCCGTGGAATCAGGACAGGTCACGTTCCTAGCACTGATGTGTGACAGCATGCATGGAGTATTGCCAGCCAGGAATGCTGGCCGGGCCTCGATGTCCAGAGTATGTGTTAGGGCTCCATTGTGTGGGTGTGATTGGTTGATTGGTTGGTCAGTTGCCCACATGGCTGATCTCAGTTTCCAGGTGGGCAGATAATGTGTGGCCAAACCACTCTCCAAATCATACTGTTAGCTGAGGACAAAGGCCAGGCCTCTTTTTGGGCAAGGTTCAATTCTTTACTACATGCTGCCTTAGGGCAGGGGCTCTGTCAATGCTTGTCAAGTGGCCTTTTTAAGTTGTGAAGGGAAAGTGCACACGGGACATTTCATGAGGCATCCTCTTGTCTGATTTGAAGTCATGCAAATGTTTTACGGACTGAATGAGGTAAACTTGGTCTGTCATCGAAAAGCTGGTGGTCATGGTGCTGTGGTTGTGTGTGCTTTTTCTTCCTGACAGATGGTGACCTTGATGTCGTGTTTAGCTCCTCCTCTAAGTGTGGAAAAGATAAAACCAAGTCTGTCTCTTCCACCATCTTTTTCCACTGCGACCCTCTGGTGAAGGACGGGATCCCCGAATTCAGTCATGAGACCGCCGACTGCCAGTACCTCTTCTCTTGGTACACCTCGGTCGTGTGTCCTCTGGGGTAAGCACAGTGTCCTGACACTTAGAAGCTGCACCCACATCCTCTCTCAAACCTTAGCTCAAGAATAAGTGTGTATGGGGGGGGGCGGGGGCGGTGGGAGGTTTCCCCCATGGTTTTGTTGTGAAATATTCAAACATGTGCAAAGTATAGTGAACGTGATATCACACCCCAGGTAGCCAGCATCCAGCTCCAGTGATTGTCAACATCCTGCTGCTTTTGGTCCATACCTGAGTCAGCACCGCCTGCCACGCTGGGCGAGTTCCAGTCCCTGTCCTCGTCCCCGTCCCCCACGGCTTCCCTTTTCTTAGCACCTGCAAGGCAGCTGCTGGCTGAGCTTCCTCTCCTGTTCCTGCACATCTTTTCTTTGTGTCCCAGTGCAAGTTATTACATGCTGAAACTTGACTTTAATGACAGTGAAGGATTTTCCGTTTAAATGATTGAAAAGCTGCTTCTATGGGGCCTGGTTTCCATGGGCCGCAGCAAGGGGGACCTTCTGCCCCCAGGCTCCTGGCGTAAGAAGGAGGGTGGTGCCTCTATGCCATCATCTCACGTCCCACAGACGTTTGTTCCTTTGCCCAGACATGTCATAAACTGCTTTCCTCCTGGATTCTTCCTGTTCTATCCAAACCACCATTTTTCATAAGCTTTTTATTTTGTCCTAAGACTTTAAGATCAGGAGGAAACTGAACTCTTACCGTGTAATCGTTTTCTTCACTTCCTAAAGAAGGGATCCCAGAGTCTGCAGACAGCAGCGGGAGGGGTGATGGGGGGAATTCAGATCACATTTTTTTAGATCTTGAATCAGTTTTCTTCTTCACTTATCTGTGGGTACTAGCTCAGCAAAAAATAGCTTTCCATAAATTAATTCCAGGGACGTGGACGTAACGACTCTTAGCTGCCCCATCTCAGAAAGGGGCTTTTGGTTGAAATTTTCTAATGGTACTTTCAGGTTTTGAATGTTTATAGTGTTCTGGTGATGTCATTACAAAATAAAAGGACTAAAATGGGAAGTTCTTTGGAAAGAAGCAAAAGGTGAATTTTTGAAAAGTAGGTAAAACTTAAAAAGGAACTATGCTTGTATTCTCTGTCATTGGGATGCTAAAAGTGCCATAAAGCAAACAAATCCTACCTCCCAACACAGCCACTGGTCCTGTGTGTCGGTTTGGACCTTCCCAGGCCTGCCATCTTGTCAGTGCTGGAAATTTAGAAGTCAGACTTTCTGTGAAGGGAACAGCACAGCCGAGGGACAGTTTATGGGACTTTGAGGTTTTATTTCAAAACCAGAAGATTCCACAGGAGACCTTGCTTTTCATGGCATTCAGAATATCAGGAACGAGAGTTGCTTAAATCCCTTAACAGTTAATAAAGCAATAAAGACTTTTTTTAAAAAAAGGAAGACAAAAGTTAGAAACAACAGCAAGAACTACACCAGGCCCCTGACTTTCCCATGTGCTGGGATGTGCGGACAGACAGCCACCAGCCGGCCGTGGCCTGGGTAGTGCCTGCAGGATTTTTTTACTTTATCAAAATGTCAGTTGTACATTTTCAAGTCAAGTAATACAAGCATAACAAGTAACTATTATCACCCTCATAGGTGACCATTTTTAGTTCTTTTAGGTGTTTCTTCTGGAATTTACCTAAACATTTTAAATGACCATTGGATACGTCACCCGTTGGCTTCCTGCAGAGCTGGATGAAGATCGAGCTCTCCAGTATCCCCCCTCTACTTTTCAGAATTGTTACTTCACAATTTTTGGTTGAAGTGATAATCAGCATTTATATACTTACGCTTACATAAAATGCATCTAAAGTGTTCCTGAGGGCTCAGGCTGGTCTGGCTGAGTCAGTTTCTGGCTTGGAGGGGACAGTGTCAGGGGAGCTCTTCAACACGGCTGTTGAGCCCGTGGTGACGTCTCCACCTGGGCAGAGGTTAGCGGTTGCGTGCCGAGGCAGACAGACCTGAACTCCAAGCTCTTCCTCTTGTTTCTTATCTCTGATGTGGTCTGGGTTTAGCTGAACTTTGACTCAGGAAAGTTACCCTTATGTGGCCAAGCCGTCGGTTGGTTGCCCTCTGACCCAATTATTTGAATTATTTTGGAGCCAAACTTGTCATAGTTAAATGCTTTTCTAAATGAATAGCCAGTGTCTCCCACATCTGACTTCATCACACGGTGGCTTGCTGAGGCTGCCTCTCTCTTATCTTGAGCAGCCCAGATGTTTCTTGTTGCTGCTCTCTGCCTTCTGTGGGTGTGGGAATCTCTGTTAGTGATTCTGTTTCTGTGCATGTGGTGGCCCTAAATGGCAGAGAGCTGGAGAATTAGCGGTGACAACTCATTACACAAATGCTGTTCTCTGAGAAGGAAGAGAAGTCAATCCAGTCATTTCTTATTTTATAGTCCTTATTATTTTCACTGCTTTCCTTGAATGTTTAATGTCCTGGAAATACACTGCTTTTTCACCTAAGCGTGAATGGCAGGGCTTGGGTGGGAACTGTGGACTCTTTGCTGATGAAAGAGCCGGTGTGTGCCCCTTGGTACTACTCTTGGACGTAACAGGCTTGGGGAGAGCAGGCCCAGCGTTGTCCCACGGATGTCCCCTCCACCCCTGTTGAGCACTGAGACTGGCTCCCATGATGGAGATGTTAGGGAGAGAAGCTGCCACCTGGGCTGTGGTCATTGTTTCTCCCTATGATAAACTGGGAGCATTGTTCCTCAGAACGTCCGCCTCAGCAACGCCTTCGTCCCTGCCCCGAGGGCCCTGCAGAGGGAGAAGCAAGTGGCAGGAGGCCGAGTGGCAGAGCTTGTAGTCGTGGAGCTTGTCTTTGCTCCCATCTTGCGTTATAGCATCGCAGGAAGCTTGGAGCAGTGTCCTCTGGCCCGTTCCGTGCCCCTGCCTTCACTCACTGTCAGAATCGCATGCTGTTGCCGTTCTCCACGTCAAGTGGATCTCGTTTGCTTGGGCTGAGTAAGGGTCCTGTGGAGTTCATAGAGTCAGTGCCACCTCCTACGTGGGGGTCCTTTGGGCCATCACTGCTGCCCGCTGACGCGGCTCTTGTGCCATTCTTCCAGGGTGGGCTTTGACAGCGAGAAGGCTGATGGAGGTGGGCAGGAGCACCAGGGGCTCTCGGAGAGGAGCCAGGCCGTCGGGGCTGTCCTCAGCCTGCTGCTGGTGGCCCTCGTGGGCTGTCTGCTGGCCCTGCTGCTCTACAAGAAGGAGAGGAGGTGAGGAGGGGAGCCGGGCAGGGAGGCCGCGGGTCACAGGCGAAAGTCACACGGTTCTTCGTTCCGCACTCTCTAGGGAAGCAGTCTCCAAACTTGTTAGCTTTTTTCTCCCTCTTCTTTGGCAGCTGGTTGGTACAGGATTGAATCCTGGACCTTGGTGTTACCAGCACCACACTCTAACCAACTGAGCTTAACTGGCCAGCCCCAAAGCTTTGTTTTTAAATGTGTGTGTTTCTGTGACGAGGGTGTACTGTTTGACCCACGTGAGGCCCCTTCGCCCTCACGTCCACCCATGGATGCTCCGTGGGTCCTCGGCCTGTGCCTCCCAGTGTCTAGGACGTCGGTCTCTTGTCATGTCCAAAGATTGATAGAAAACTGAACCACACCTTGCACGAGCTGACTTCCTTCTGACCGGTGACCCTCTGCCCTCCCCCACAGTCAGGAAAGCAAGCATTTATTAAGCACCTGCTGTGTGTCATGTATGATGCCATGCTTTGGGCTCGACTTTGCTGGGCGAAACTGCTCATCACGTAGTTGTTGAGTAGATTTTCACATCTGGTGTTGTGAGGCACTGGCCCCAGAGCCCTGAGCAAGGCTGACTCTGGCTGGGGGCAGGCACAAGCTGCCTCTCCTGTTTGCCAGGTGAGCCTCAGGCAGCAGGAAGGTGTGGTCCTGTCGCATTCACAGGTGAACCAGTAAAAGCTTGCACGTTAGATGATTTGCTCTAGACCTTAAGACTATCAAATTTTGAGTTCTTTTCTGTCTGATTCCAGAGCCCGCATTCTTTCCACCAAATCATGACAAATGATGTTGGTTTATAGCCCTGTGTCATGGGATGGTCATTTGTCATTCAACGTGCTCGTGCCGTGGAGGGCTGTATTTCTGCGAGAAATGTAGCCGTCATTGCTGCCCGGCCCTCTGGGGATGTAGGAGCTGGGTAGTGGCTGGTGGGGTGGGACTCCTGGCCCCAGCTCCTTCTACCCTGGAGTAATTATTGTTCTCTGTTTTTGTAGGGAGACAGTGATGACTAAGCTAACCAATTGCTGCAGAAGAAGTTCAAACGTGTCCTACAAATACTCGAAGGTAGCCGGCAGCTGCGAGTCTGTGGGGTGACCCTGCTCCTCGCCCAGTGCTGTGCTGTGGTGTTGCTGTCCTCTCAGGGACGCAGAGAGAACGTCGGCGCAGGCCCGTGGAAGTCCAGAAGAGGAAACACCTGTTGCCTTAACTTCTATCCCTAATGTGTTTTTTGTCTTTTTTTTTTTTTCCTTCAAATCTCTCTCACTGTGGTTGCAACTAATTTCTTTGGAGTATTTAATTGTTAGGTTGTTTCCACTTTTTTGTCTGTTGTGAAAAAACCATGACAATGAAAATTTTCGTGCATCTAGCATTTGGATGATTTTCTTCAGATAAATTTCCAGAAAAGAAGCATTATCTGGGTCATTGACTCGAATATGTTTGTGGCTCTTGATACGTATTGCCAGATTGCTTTCTAAAAGTACACTCTTCGACACAAGTCCCTCCTGTGGCTTCTCTTACATACCGCATGTCCCGCCCCACCACACAGCTGACATAAACGAGGGGCCGGAAGAGCCCCTCTCCCCAGCTCCACTGACTTGTCGTGGGCCTGCTTTTCAGGTCTGGGCCATCCTGGACACCCTGGCCCTGCCGCGTGGCTGTGAGGCTCCTGCCGAGTGCCCCACGTCTGCCCCGCAGCACTCCGGCCTCAGTGCGGTCCTTGCAGGAGTGGCCTGTTGCTGCCGGCCTGGCCTTCCCCGCCCTGGCTGGGACCTGGGGACCGGAGACGCAGGGACTGTGGTGGGCAGTGGGCTGGTTCCCAGCTCATGCCAACAAGGGTCTCTACTTGGAGTGGGTCGTGGAAGGAGAGTAGCAGAGGAGCAGATGGGGGTCTTCGAGGGTCTCCCGGGGGCTCACGTGGTCTCTGCCGTTTATCTTTGGCAGGTAAACAAGGAAGAAGAGACTGAGGAGAACGAGACGGAGTGGCTGATGGAGGAAGTCCAGCCGCCCGCGCCGATGCTGGCGAAGGAGGGGCAGGAGAACGGCCACATCACCACCAAGTCCGTGCAGGCCGAGGCCCTCAGCTCCCTGCACGGGGATGACCAGGACAGCGAGGATGAGGTTCTGACCATCCCAGAGGTGAAGGTTTACCCGGGCCGAGGAGCTGGGGCAGACAGCTCGCACCCGGGCACAACCCCCCCACGGAAGGCCCCGAGGGAGCGGGAGGACGGGAGGTCGGGGCTGGTCAGAGGGGAGAAGGGGAGGAGAGGGAAGCCCAGGCCTGGACAGCCGAAGACCAGGAGCTCCACCCAGCTGGTGTCCTTCCACGATGACAGCGACGAGGACCTCCTGCACATCTAACTCCGCAGTGCCTGCCGGAGAGCGTGGAACGGTGGGACAGCCAAGCACCTCCAACCAAATAAGACTTCAACTCGACAATGCTTCTATAATTTTGCCTTTAACAAAAACTGTTTCAAAAGGGAAGAGTTTTTGTGATGGGGGAGAGGGGGAGGGAGGCCCGGCGCCGCTCCTTCCCGATTGTTTACAGTCATTGGAATACGGCATTGCTCAAATGGCCAAAGGGCGGCACCTCGTGCCCAGGGTTTTGCCCGAGTCCTCGTGTAAGGCGTCGCTGCGTGCGCCCCTTGCCGCGGAGGGCTATGTGCAAAACAACCCTTGCTGCTTTAGGCCCTGTAGGGTATTTGACCATTATATTTTAGCATTTTAATTCTCTCCCCTATTTATTGACTTTGACAATTACTCAGGTTTGCAAAAAAGGAAAAAAAAGAAAACAGCAGCAGTTTCTTCTTGCGGCAGGGGGTGACGCGCCGGTTCATCTGCTGCAAGGAGGGGAAGCTGTCGTGGGCTGGGGCAGCTGCTCACGGAATCTTAAACTGGCATTCGCGTGTCCCCTGGGTTGGAGTACTCCATCTGTCTTTTCTTTTTTGCTTTCCGTTTCTTAAGGGCACACGTGTGTGCACACACACATGCGCGTGCACAGGGTCTCTGAGTGCCTAGGTTTTGGAGGGTTCACCTGTTCTATGCCTTTAGTCAGGAACGGCTGCAGCTTCTTGCATGACGCCTTCAATCCTAGGTGGACAGAGCACATTTGTCAGTATTTCTTTAGCTGGCTGGTACATTCAAACAACCCACCCAAAGATTGATTTTTGTGTGTGTGTGAGTTGAGTTGAGGTGTCAGAGAAAATAACTGTTTTCTAGATAGGGGGTGTAGGGTCTCATCTCTTCAGGTTCTCATGATACCACCTTTACTGTGCTTATTTTTTTTTTTAAGAAAAAAGTGTTTATCAACTATTCGACCTATAAGAAGCCTTAATTTGCACAGCGTGTGACTTACGGGAAGTGCATGAGTAATGGCGGGCCAGGGTCTCACCCGTGGCGGTGCACATGGGTCAAGCTCAAGGGAGGCCGAGGTTGTGACTCATAGTGTCGCAGTATGAAGGGCAGCCCCGGGGTCTCCCACGGCTGCCAACTCCTTTCTTGAAGTGTTTAATGGATGACTTTTCTCGCATTATAGAATTGTATATAGGCTCAGTGGTATTCATATACTGAAAAGCGAACCACCTATGAGAATTCCTTGATTTGTACCTGGTTTGCCTGGCTTATTTGATTTCAACATGAAGTGTATTTTTTAAAATTGATTTTTCTCTTCATTTTTTTCAATCAACTTTACTGTAATATAAAGTATTCAACAATTTCAATAAAAGATAAATTATTAATTGGGTGTTATAATTTCTTCCACTTGATAGTGAAAAGTCGCCGAGCTGGTTGCAAGTCCAGCTGCCTGTCTTTTCTTTCTCTGCAGCTGCAGGAACGTGTGGATCTGGGCTTCCACTTCGGCGTCCTAGCTCACCCTCTGTGAGGCAGCACTTCGGTTTTTCTCTGGCGTTGTCTGCGCTGTGCGTGCCAGCTGCGGGTCCAGTCTGCCTTCACTCAGCTTTATCTGGGTCTCATTTCTTCAGCCATTCCAAGCAGACCTCAGGGTATTTCCTGTTTACCAAAACAATGACTATGGAATTTAGATTCCAGTGATACGATATAGCATCTATGTACGCAACCCAGTCTAACATGGAGGTGTTTTCTCTTGAATAAATTCACCAAGTCTTACTTCTTAAATTACTGATTAGTAATTGAGCGCTACCTACACGGTAACATGGAAGTAGAGAGTCACTGACTTCTTAGTCAACCAGACTTTGTAGTCAGCATCTTTCCCTCCATCTCATGTTTTAATTATCCGGTCGGAGTTACCTTTTTATCATTATGATGATGCAGGATTTTACATCTCTCCTGAGACAGATGTGCTGGGGTCTTATAAAGGTTTATGTTGTGACCCAAGAGTCGCTGGTCCTCAGGCATTGTATCCAGAAGGGCTCTTCTCCAAGCCATTCCCACTTCCTCTAAGGCCAGGGGACGCCCTCTCTGTGAAGAGGGGCATTTACAGGTCCTGCTGGCTCAATGGCAGTTAGGGTGTCATCAGCCCCCCTGGCGCCATTCCCACTTCCTCTAAGGCCAGGGGACACCCTCTCTGTGGAGAGGGGCATTTACAGGTCCTGCTGGCTCAATGGCAGTTAGGGTGTCATCAGCCCCCCTGGCCTCAGAGGGAAGGAGAAGTGACAACAGGGTGTCCGAGCACATTTGCTCTGACTCTTTTCTTAAGAATCTACGTAGTCTCTACACGAAGCCTCTGAACAAATGGAGTATCTGTTCTTGGCAGCTATTGTGACAGGGATTTTTAGGAAAACACCCTGATAGCCACAGGAATTAGAATTTTTTCAGAGATGATTTTATTGGTGAGTACAACCTTGATATTTAGTTTCATTATAACCACATTTCCTGTGCCCGCTTTTGAGACTGGCCATTGAGTGGCAGAGGATGGATTGAGTCAGGACCTGAGGCTGATACAAACACCATGCCAAGGAAACCCACGAAAAAGAGATCTGGCTCTTTCCATGAACATTTGAAAGCTGTCTGAAACCTGTACTTCACTAACCACTAAAATGATACATGTATCCTGGGAATGATGACAGCCACCTTGGTCATTGAAAAGCATGCTCGGGATAGTCTGATCCTTTGTGTGAGCTAAAGGACTGATGGGCACAGAGGTCTCACTTTTCTAGGAGACCGGGTCGCAAGGGGCCAGCATGTATGTTGGGGAGGCAGTGTGGACAAGACTGGATTTTTAGAAATCCCCTTAGTCAGCTTCTGAAGATGTCTGTGGCTCAGGGAGTTGTTCTCACACAGTCTTATTTCTCTGGCTCTCCTTTGTTGCCTCGTGGTCAGCCGCTTGTGCCCAAACGCTAAAATTGCTGTACATTCTGGACACTCTTCGGTGAGAATGTGGTGAATGGGCCGGCACGACAGGGCTGCTGAGCCGCAGGTGAGGTGTGAGTGCTGGGCGGGCAGGTGCCAGCTCAGAGGCATGATAGCCATGTTGAATTTGGGGACAAAGTGGCCAGGAGGTGCAGGACAGGTAAGGCCAAAGCAGGCCCAGAACAAAGAAGCCCCCTATGAAAGTCACAGTAAGGAGTTTGGACTTGCTGTGAAAGCAGTTGGGAGCCATGGAAGGGCTGGGTTTGCTTTTGAGAAAGACAGAATGGAAGAAAGTAGAGAGGTGGGGACACTGGAGCATCTGGCGGTGGTGTGGGCGAGGGGGGCCCTGGCATGCAGACACCAAAAAGTCTCAGGCTCTCGCCTAAAAGGAAGTTCCCTCCTGGAGGAGAGAGTGTTTTCTGTAAAGATAGAGAGAAAAGCCAAACTTAGGGTTGGGAATTATCAGTTATTTGTATTTCATTACCTCTTATTCTATTTAGTATTTTGACCAGCTTGCAAATCAAATTCTGTGAAAAAGAATTTATAAGTAATTTTAGATAATCCTAGTGTTAGAAACATGATTGAACAAATGGTTTCATTGGTTGTCACACCCAGGGAGGGCAGGAGTAAAATGTGGGGCTGCCATCTTTGCCCATAGCTGGGGTCATCTGGTGGCTGCGCTCAGCACTGTCCTGGAGAATATAGCCATGAGGAGCTGGCCTCACGGTGACAAGCCGAGGAAGTGATGGCAGGTTGCTGAGACACCCACAGCGGAGCAGTTTCCAGGAAGGAGCTGGGTAGGAGGCAGAGGTTCAGGTTCCAGACGGGGCCTGTGATTTCACTCTTGGCTTCAGATTTTTTTCTTTTCTTTGTTTTTCACCTTTGGCACAATCAAAACATATAGTTTGAACATACAGGACCAAGAACTCCTTTTTCCTGAATCATTTGATAGGAAGTTACCCTCCTAGTGCCTACCATCGCCAGGCAATTTAGTAGTCATTCCTAGAAACAAGGCTCTTCACCACACAACCACGATGTCACCACCAAAGCCGGAACATGAGTGTGGGTAAGCTGCTGTCACCTAAGCCTCAGGTATCCACATGCAGAAAATAAAATTGGACCCTTATCTCACACTAAATATGGAAATCAACTCAAAATGATTAAAGACTTAAATGTAAGACCTTAAGCTGTAAAACTACTAGAAGAATACATAGGGAGAAAGCTCCATGACATTGGTCTGGGAAAAAATTTTTGGATATAACCTCAAAAGCACAGGTAACAAGAGCAATGATAGGTGAGTGGGGTTACAACAAACTAAAAAGCTTCTGCACAGCAAAGGAAACAATCAACGGAGTGAAAAGACAGCCTGAAAATTGGGAGAAAATATTTGCAAAACATACATCTGATAAAAGGTTAATATCCAAAAAGAAATAGGAAACTCAAATCAATAGTAAGAAAACAAATAACCTAATTAAAAAATGAACAAAGGACCAAATAGACATTTATCAAAAGAAGACATATGAATGGCCAACAGGTATGTGAAAAAATGCTCAACATCACTAATCACCAGGGAAATGAAAATTAGAACCAAAATGAGATATCACCTCACACCTGTTAAAATGGCTTTTATCAAAAAGATGAAAGGTAACAAGTGTTGGTAAGGATGCGGAGGTAACGGGATCCTTGTACACTGTTGGTAGGAGTGTAAAATGGTGCAGTCACTGTGGAAAACAGTAGGGAGGTTCCTCAAAAAATTAAAAACAGCTACCAACAATCCTACATCTGGGTATATATCCAAAGGAAATTGTGTTGAGATATCTGCACTCCCATGTTCACTGCAGCATTAGTTACAATAGGCAAGATATGGAATCAACCTTAGTGTCCATCAACAGATGAATAAAGAAAATATAAGTGCACAATGGAATATTATTCAGCCATAAAAAAGAATGAAATCCTGTCATTTGTGATGATGTGGATAAACCTGGAGGACATTATGTTAAGTGAAATAAGCCAGGCACAGACATATACTGCATGATCTCACTTATGTGTGGAATCTAAAATAGTCAAACTCAGAAGCATAGAGTAAAATGGTGCATACCAGGAGCTAGGGGATCAGGGGGAAGGGAGATGTCGGTCAAGGGTGCAAAGTTTCAGATATGCAGGATGAATCAGTTCTGCAGATCCAAAATACAGCATGGTGACTATAGTTAATAATATTGCACACTTGAAATTTGCTAAGAGAGTTCATCTTAAGTGTTTATCCACAAAAAAAGGTAGTTAAATGAGATGATGGATGCGTTCACTGGTTTGACTGGGGGAANAAAGGACTGATGGGCACAGAGGTCTCACTTTTCTAGGAGACCGGGTCGCAAGGGGCCAGCAGGTATGTTGGGGAGGCAGTGTGGACAAGACTGGATTTTTAGAAATCCCCTTAGTCAGCTTCTGAAGATGTCTGTGGCTCAGGGAATTGTTCTCACACAGTCTTATTTCTCTGGCTCTCCTTTGTTGCCTCGTGGTCAGCCGCTTGTGCCCAAACGCTAAAATTGCTTTACATTCTGGACATTCTTCGGTGAGAATGTGGTGAATGGGCCGGCACGACAGGGCTGCTGAGCCGCAGGTGAGGTGTGAGTGCTGGGCGGGCAGGTGCCAGCTCAGAGGCATGATAGCCATGTTGAATTTGGGGACAAAGTGGCCAGGAGGTGCAGGACAGGTAAGGCCAAAGCAGGCCCAGAACAAAGAAGCCCCCTATGAAAGTCACAGTAAGGAGTTTGGACTTGCTGTGAAAGCAGTTGGGAGCCGTGGAAGGGCTGGGTTTGCTTTTGAGAAAGACAGAATGGAAGAAAGTAGAGAGGTGGGGACACTGGAGCATCTGGCGGTGGTGTGGGCGAGGGGGGCCCTGGCATGCAGACACCAAAAAGTCTCAGGCTCTCGCCTAAAAGGAAGTTCCCTCCTGGAGGAGAGAGTGTTTTCTGTAAAGATAGAGAGAAAAGCCAAACTTAGGGTTGGGAATTATCAGTTATTTGTATTTCATTACCTCTTATTCTATTTAGTATTTTGACCAGCTTGCAAATCAAATTCTGTGAAAAAGAATTTATAAGTAATTTTAGATAATCCTAGTGTTAGAAACATGATTGAACAAATGGTTTCATTGGTTGTCACACCCAGGGAGGGCAGGAGTAAAATGTGGGGCTGCCATCTTTGCCCATAGCTGGGGTCATCTGGTGGCTGCGCTCAGCACTGTCCTGGAGAATATAGCCATGAGGAGCTGGCCTCACGGTGACAAGCCGAGGAAGTGATGGCAGGTTGCTGAGACACCCACAGCGGAGCAGTTTCCAGGAAGGAGCTGGGTAGGAGCCAGAGGTTCAGGTTCCAGACGGGGCCTGTGATTTCACTCTTGGCTTCAGATTTT